TAATCAGAAATATATATATACAGTTTACTTAAAAGTACATCACGTCGGGGCCTTGGCCAAGTACCCGACCAAATTACGTTCCCCGCGAACCAAAGTGGTCTGATCAACCACGTCGCTAGAACGGGAGCATAAACAACTTCCTTCTAAGCGARCTGTAAGCRGGGCCAGTCCCGCYACCWGTCTCGAAYCGTCTAAGCACAATAAGCCGAGTCCGCCTCGCTRACTTAGTCARGCATCYGACAAARACCGTAAGCCYGGCCAGTCCCGCAACCTYTCCTAAAAACACCTAAGTACTATAAGACGAGTCCGCCTCGCATACTTAGCTACGTACAAGGCATCATCTTAAAGCCGACCTCAGGGTCGCACACAAGCTCAAAAAAAATTCTACGTTCAATAACGATACGATCTACGAACGCGCAAGAATAAGAAGAGAAAAAGCATAAGAAACGCTCCCGCGGGCAAAAGAAGAAAAAAGATTCAGGTCTTTATAAACAAAAATACAAAGGAAGAAAAAGATTCGAGCCTTTATAAACAAAAATACGAAGAAAAAAAAAATTCGAGTCTTTACAAAACAAAAATACAAAGGCCACAGGCGGCCTGGAAGCAAAAAAAAAGAGGGAGAACAACATAAGGAAAGTCATTTGCCGATCCGCACCGAAGGATCCTGAACAACCGGAACGCCATTGAGGTCGGCTAACTCTTCACCTGTGGTCTGGTCGACGGCTGGAGCCTCAGGGTTTTCGAGGCTTGGGTTCTGAACGGCAAGTGCCGTTTCGGCCTCATTGCTAGCTATCGGAGCGACCTCGACCTGAATCGAGGGATTAGCGATCTGCGGAGGTGTAGCGGACAGCCACGGAGGAAGCGGCATCACGAAGTCCTCCTCCTCGGCCTCCTCTACTTCCAAGACCTCGAGTTGGCCCTTGAACTTCTCAAAGTTGTCATCAAGGACCTTCAGCCGCTCTTCAGAGATGGTAATACCATCTTCTTCCCCCATCTTGACCAGATAGCCCTTAATAGCCCGTGACTGACTCATTAGTTCCGAGAGCCGGGCGACCTCCGCAGAGTCAGCGATGGACCTCTTTATTCCCGCCAGCCTCTAGTTGCAATCTTCCACAGTGCTCATAACAACTGACGACCGAGACTTGCGAAGACGGTCAACTTCGGCCTGAAGAGAATCCTTCTGAGCAGTCGCCAGTTCCAACTGCTCTGCGGCATTTTTCTTCTGCGACCTAAGATCCTCAATGACCTTATCCGAGTCCGCCARCATTTTGCTGAAAWTARTGACTCTYGACTTCAGGACGGGAACCTTCTCRGCTTCCGRCTTCSCTGACTCGAGTTCCTTCTTCATCGACTCGAACTCCCTCTTCATCGACTCCTGCTCCATAAGCTGCGATTCGTACTCCACGAGCTGCTTCGAGACTTTGAAGAGCTTACGTTCGTACGAAAGGACCATCGAGTTCGTATAGGTCATCAACTGCGAAGGAGGCAACCAGAGCGCAAAGGATTAACAAACGAAAAGAAAGAACCCCAAGGAAAAGCAAGAATGAAAGACAAACAAGAGCTCACCTCCACCGAATCCCCACAGACCTTGCGATATTCTTCGAATTCCTTCAGCTCCTCCAGCTTAGGAAATTCGTAGACTTCATTGCAGGGGAATCGGGACCACAGATCGGCACACGCTCTGGTATTATTTATCATATGCTCAGGCGCCCTGAAGTCCATTTCGGGCGTGTAGTCTCTGGAGTCAGCAGAGGGAGAGGCGGCAGCCGAGACAGCCTCGGGCATAGCAAGGGAACTTTCCCGGTTATCAGTCCGAGCCCTTTTATTCCCCTTCTCCGGAGCATCCTCCAGTGGTCTCTTGTCCTTAGAAGTCTTCGCTGCGGACCCTTCGGCTACAGCGGCAACGGACTTGCTGGATTTCTTTTCCGCCAGCGCGGCCCCAGCTCGCTTGGAAGACGGAGCTCCGGACTGCCCCCCAGCAGGGGTCCCCTTTCCAGGCGGACCGGTTCCTCTAAGCGTAGAGGCCACGTTTGTCCTTTTTGTGCCAACCTTGGCCAA